AAAAAAAAAAAAAAAAAAATGGATAACAGACTGCAGAGAAGGTATTCATCCCAGATGAAGTCACTCACATCTGCTGTTCCCATGTCTAAATTTCATTGACCCATCTGCCCTAATCATCTCACCCTCTTCTATTTGTTGCAAACACATGGAGGAGGCCACCATAAAATACCATCAAATGTCTGTAGCACAGCTCTGCTTCTCCAACATAAGAGAATACTTTCACTTCAGCATCCTGGTGAAGAAGTTGCAAAGAACTACCTTGACAGTGCTTTTGAAAACAACGTTGCTTTCAGAAAAGACAGGGTCCATTTACAAATCTCAGCAAAAGTAAGTTTGTAGTAAGTAGTTTCAGATTTGTGCCCTAAATCTGCTGCCAAATTAGCTTTGGAAATATATATATACTACAATTTTACAGAAGTCAGGCATCTGATTAACAATAGGTAGAACCAATGCCTCTCAATAGTACTGCACCTGCAATTCTCAACACTGGAACTTTAATTATATTTTCATTATGAATTGGACTAGAACAAAACCGATGCACATGAAATACATGTGCAGTTGACACCTTTACCTGCACAGCCTGAGGAGGGATCAACCCTCCCAAACCCACAGAGCTTTGCAATACAGACGAGACACCTAAGCACTTGCTTTAATAAATAATAGGCTTGGATATAGGGCTATAAACACCAAATAAAGCTCTACCTTTGATCTTTATAAAATATTTAATGAAATCTCACAAAAGTGAGTGACAAAAATATTACAAAACTGAACTTCAAAGATAGCACTTTTCTCCAATTATAAAAAAATCCTAACTTACCTTTCCCTTTGAGCTAAACTTAGCTACTTTTATGCCAGATGAATAGCTCCACTGTGTGTTCACAGTCCCATTACCTTGTTACTTCAATCGCTGAGCTAAATTTACATTTAGCAAATTTCACATTTTCTTAAAAAAAAGAGAGGAAGAAAATGGCAGGGACTTAGCAACAGATGTATTATAAACATAGTGCTACAAAATCCACTCTGTATTTGCAGCTTGCTGTCCCTCAGCTAACTCAATGATGAATACTTTCAAAGTTTTCTTCAAATTTTTGCATTTAATAATTTTCAAAAAGAACAACCACTCTAACAATATTTTGCATTCCACTGTATAGAAATTTTGTAGGAAATAATGTCCAAAGAGATCTGTCTTCACTGTAATATTAATTTAATAGCTAATGTGCATTATTCACATTCATATGCAAATACATGTGATATTAGTCCGACACGCAGATGACTGAGAGGCAGCTGCTTAGAAAGACACATTCACGCATCTTAAGCCACTCTGACCCACTAGTGTTAGAAGATTTGTTGATCCACTATGTTTTCCTTCAGGGGAAGATGGGGAACATTTAAATGGTTCGTTCTGCTGCATGTTAAACTGTTCAGTGTTTTGGCCATCTCTCTTCTTTCAGAGAAAAGCCTCTGTGCAGCCTGCTATTTTTAACACATGTAAATGCAAACACAGTTGTTCTTCTGTTCTTCAGGGACTTTTCTTCTTGCTTTTCTGTTCTTCCTTAAGCTCTTTTGCGCTACATCTGGACCCCAATGCTGTTAACATTTCTGTTGTCGTTAGGTTCGCTCCCTTCATTATCAATCGCTCTCCATCAGCTGTAAAGGGAAAAAAATTTAAGAGGTCACAAAGCCTAAGTCACAACTACTTTAGTGTGCAGTTCTGTTTTGTATACAGAAATCTAAATAACCTGTTCATCTTGTCCGACTGGAAAGTACTCCACTTACAAAGGAATCTGATTATGCACCACCAAGAAACAAATACATTAAATTGCACACAATACACCTGTAATTTTAATTCCTGTATTGCATTATTGAAAAATGTGAAACATTGGCTAGCTATACCTATAGCAAGAACAAATATTTGACGAGAACGGCTCATACTATGCCCTCAAAGTCATCTAACAGAAGGCACAGAAGGCACTGGAAGGCATAATTTCCACGCATGGCTCAGCATGTTAGCAGCATGTCGTCTATGGTCTGTTTAACTCACTTCTTCAGCCAAAACAATGAACTGGTTTACACAATCTAGTGGTTTATAACGTAAAAAAATAGAGAGCACTAGGATTTCTAAAATTCTGAAACAAATTATTTTAAAACTGGGAAGAGGCAGTGGAAGTTAAGTATTGTACCTAAGTTAATTATTTATTTTTGCAAGATTAACAAATACAAAAGCCATACGCAAATCATATAATGCAAAACCATGCATGGTATCCAAGTTCCAGTCCCATGTTTGCCAACAACAAGGGCTGCAAACTCTTCACTTGGAAAATAACTGGCTCCTAGAAAACGAAGAGTTCAGAGCTGTCGCTCCTGGCATTAGCGAAATAAATTGTTTTGGTTCTACGCTGTGAAAAACATCAAGCTTTCCTGCTTAAGTCTTAATATATCACAGTTAGAGACAAAGATGGGAAAGACAGAGGCATGGGGAAGGGAGAAACAAGCAATGTCAACACTGAAATAACTAGACTTTCCTAAGTGAAATTAAGTACATTCAACACTCTTGACATTTCTACCAATTCACTAAATATATGGAAGCTTAAAGAAAAGAGGGTAGCAAGAAGCAGTAATAATGAAAACTTCAATGGGATACATGACATATTGGTCCATTACAGCACAGCGGGAAAGAAGACGCAGCCAGAGAAAAGGACAAAAGCAGATTAGAGCCATCTGTTCACAGCCTAGAATCTGGGCCACTTCCAGAACTGATGAAGTTTCCACCATCAATTCCCTGCCCGCTCACTATACCCTCAAAGAGAACCAAGAAATTTGTTGTACATCAGTTGACCTCATTCTGCAAGTCCATCTGTATATGTATGGTCTTATCCATATGAGCAGCTCCTTCAAACTGCATAGTAAGTTACTTAGTTGCACAAGCACCTAAAGGTATTCAACTCCTTTGTTCTCAAGACTGAGACGCCTCCACCACAGATAACATAAAAAAACTACAGAAAGTGAATAGATTCTTACATCAAAACAGAGTTACACTTACTTCCCTGGAATTGTACCTGACTGCAAGGTCACACAAGTATGTCACTACAAAAGTAGACTCAACCCTAAAGTTAAGTCAGTTCTTTGATCTAAGATCCGCTAGATCTAACTGTAGTACAGAGACATATATACACATTTATCTAGACATCAGGCTGTTAGTGACTCCCTCTTTCTTTTTCCTCCCAGCTGTACAACATCCAGCTAAGGACCAGAACCAAAAAAAAGTAACCATAGTTAATAAAAAAAAAAAAATCATAAAGAAGACGACAATAACACCATAACAACACAAACCCAGAAGGTTTTTTTGGGTCAAGATTGAAAATGAGCTCCTTACCAAACATAACATCTACAAGTGGTTCAGATCCATCATGTCTCACATCAGCAGTCACTTCACAGTTTCTATTAGTGGCCTGGATTTTTTTATGGTTTATACATACAAGAAATTTTCTGAAAAGATATTTGAAAATATATTTAGTATGTTGTAGATAGAAATTATAGTAAGTATATTTCAAAAACTAATTTGAATATCTTGATATTGCTGGGCAACAAGAGTATAAAGAAAATAGGATTTGTAATGAACAGTTTCAGACAAGTACTTCTTACAACATAATCACTCTTAAAAATCCAAATGGATAGTCCTTATATGCTAACACGTAAAAAGCATACCAAAGAATTTTGCAAAAATTCAGTGTGTGCACTTTCTGCATTTCTCTCAGCTGCGTTAGTAATAATAAAAAAGTCAGCAAAGTCATTTGCATTTTTGTTTATATACTGGTTACTTGCCAATGTTTTATTGTTTGGGTTTGAGACAGCATTTATTTATTTAACATCATCAGTCTCCTGTAGATTTCTGAAATGCGTGACAGCTACTTGACATTCTGGCAGCTTAAAGACATTCTAAGTTAAGTTGTGTGACTAAGTTCATTTCAAAGGTAGATGTGTCCATAAAGCTATTGCAAAATGACATTTTACAATTGTTTGGTGCAGAACTTACATCTCTCAAGAAGCATAATTACTCAGATTTCTCCAACAGTTAATTATGAAGATAGAGCAGCAGCTGTTGCCCTCTCTTTCTCTCATTACCAGCACTTGGACTAGTGATTACAGACCCTCACCTGCAGGCTCTGAAACCGAGAGGGGCATCTCCCCGTGTAGTCTGGTAAAGCTAAACGCACACGCCTACATGCAAGGGTCTACACTTAAGCACAGAGATCCTTCAAAAATCAACACGGAATGAATGCTGCGTGCAGCTTGGGAACACCATAAACAGAACCCTCATGACAAACACAGCGTCTTCTCATTCTGAAATGTTAAAGTTCTGCCTAGACTGAGCTACAAAGCCCTGATAAACGCAAGCCTTCAAAGACTAAGATTATGAAAGTTAACATACAGCAAATGCAGAAGTTTGGGGAAAGGACGTTCTTCTCTAGAGAAGGAACAACAGATGCTGCCATTTCCCTCATGATTTGCTCCCAGGACATCTTACTTTTGCTGGCTGCAGTGACAGCAGCGTTAATGGCTTCGTTTCGCAGCCGGCGGGGCGGCCGCTCTCCCGGCTCTGCGGGAACCTCCCCGCTCCCAAGGGCGGACAGAAGCAGGCCTGTGCCCCTCGCCATGCCTGGGCTCTACCTTCCCCCTCCCAAATAAATAAAATTAAAGGCAAAAAGTCCTGCCCTCAC